ATTGTGACAAAGTCCTTATCAAGCAAACCAGGAAAGAATAAGGATGAACAATAAAGAAGAATAGGTAGGATGCAAGAGTTTATGAACTGTAAGAGGAGGGGTTGAGTTATACCCGAGTGCCTTAACTTCTTAATGTAAAATGTAAGGCGGAATATTTTACTGGAGATCACTGAGACATGAGAAGACCAGGAGAGATCAGAAGAGAGAATAAGTCCAAGATACTTAACTTCCGATTTTATTCCTATATCATTGTCATCAATCTTACAACTGTCATGAGAATCGACGGCTTCTTTTAACTGTCGTTTACATCTTAAGCTGAAATTAACAGTTTAACATTTAGAAGGATTCAGTTTAAGACCGTTAGACTCAGACCATTTACTGACTCCCGACAGAAAGCTATTTATTTTGGTACAATCTAGCTGGGAGTTAACAGCCATTGAAACAGTTAAGTCATCAGAGTACTTCACAAAGTTTATTTCATCAGACTGAGGCAAGTCATGTTAGAAGAAAGAAAAAAGAAAAGGAGAAAGGACAGCGCCCTGAGGGACACCAGCTTCAGTAGGCAACGAAGTGGAAGACTTCTCTTTATACACGGTGTACTGCTTTCTTTCTGAGAAATAGGAATGTAACCAGTTAACAGCCCAACATTCTGTTTGACTTGCAGCAAGCTTATTTAATAAGATGTCTCTAGGGACCGAGTCAAAAGCAGATGTTTAGTCTAGGAAGGCACAACGAACAAATTTAGCCTCTTTGTCTAGACTGGAAACAATGTTATGATATAAGACGGCAGCTGCATCTAAAGTGCTTCTACTGTGCTTATAGACAAATTGTTTTGGGTCATTAAAGGATTTAAGAGAGGGTTCAAGACTAAGTTAAAGTAGTTTCCCCAAAGTTTTCAAAAAAGGAGAGGTAATAGCAATGGGTCTAAATTTGACACATGCTCCAGTAGACGATTTAGATATGGGAACAACTTTAATGTCTTTCCAAACGGCAGGCACAATATTACTGGAAAAAGATTTGTTAAACAGATCAGTGAAAGGGTACCACGGAATATCAGAAGATTTTTAAAAAATACTAGGTACATGATCTGGACCTAAGCTCTGGGAAGGGTTTAGAGACTTGAGGCACTTTTGAACGTCATTTGTGTTAAAACCTGGAAAGGGGCTATTATTAACACTAGTGATACTGGGAAGCATGGAATTTGATGGAGAATAAATTAAAGATTTATTAAGAGTACATACATCAGAAGAATATGGAATATAGTTCATCTGCTTACCACCAGTGATTTCCTTAAATAGTTTCCACATATTTGAAGCATTTTTGCAGGATATGAATTCAATCTCTGCATTTCAGACTTAATAAGGAAGTTAGTTCTTTTTACACCACTTTTATCTCTCATTTTATATAGCTTTTCCTTCTCTCTACGAAGCTTTTTAAGTTGAGGGGAGGAGAAACGGTCGAATTCGACGAATACTGTTTCTTTTGGCAGCAGATTTCAAAACAGAATTTCAGATAAGATGTAATATTAGAGATAGTGTCATCAAGTGAAACATCATAAAACAGATCCCATTTTGTGTCACGGAGCATGTTTCTAAGATGTACGTCCTCATTTGAGTAACATCTGTGAACAACTTTCTTGGACAAGTTAGAGAAGGCTTTTTTGTGTAACTTTCCGTAAACTTTGGGTAGAACTCGTACAATACAGTGATCAGAGTTTGAGAGCGGAGCTCTTTTACTAGCTCCGTATCTTCCAGAATCATTTATAAATACTAAGTCAAGTGAAGTATCTTGTCGAGTTGGGAAGTTAACAACATTTTCATGACCTAGCAATATAATAAAACTGTAGTCACTGGCGTTGAAGTCACCAATCACTACAGACAAGGAGTTACCAAACGAAGCAGCAGCAAAAATAGTGAATTCGCCAGCAAACATCGATAGTTCTGAGGGACTGCAAGAAGGTGCAACATAGATATTTGTGACAAAAATGCAGTTATACTTGGATGAGTGTTTAGGTCGGCATTTAGCAATTATGCAATCAATGTTGTAATTTGAGAATTTGAAGCAGACGTTGTTGGCAGTAGATCACTGAGAATTAATGAAAATGGTCGCTCAGTTCCTGTTTGAACTGATCAAATACGACCGCTTGTCTGACTTGCTTGACAACACTTAGATAGGAGAATGAGGTACCTAATTCATCATACTGATTTAGCTGATTCTACTCGGACTTTCGACAATGAGCGCCCTTCTGTTTCATGGGAAAATGCGGCACGAATTTCAACCTAATTTCAATGATAGTCAATAATCGTAGATTCACGGCTATTTCTGTGACATGTCCAATTCTCCTCACCAAGCTTCTCGTAGATGCCTCACCGACATCTCTATACATATCGAAAATAATCTCAATCATACTAGTGTGGTAGATTCATTTGAATTAGTTAATTAAATAAGTGGTGTCAGCATATCCAGGAAGAGAACGATATCCCCAACTATATATGCCTCTCTTCACTCATATCTTTCTCACCGAAGATATTTCCTTTTCAGCCAGTCGTGAAGAAGACAATATTTTGAAAGTGAGTGTTCCGATCATGTGCTTCAAACAACTTCTACTGATGTGCACTCTTAATGTCCAATTGACATTATATGACTCATTGTATAGAGGGAAGTACGGGTTGTTATTTGTGTCTCCATTATTTACATGGTTTATTAATTGTATCATCGCGACTCCAGAAAATACTAATATATGACGTCTTACTTTTCAATGTTTGCATATTCACTAAACACAAATGCATAATATCACCTTTATAAGCGACAAATTTTCTGACATCGAAGTGATAATGAAATGGTTAACTATTATGTTAAGTTGAGGTCGAATTCAGAGGCGACTTTTTTCAATTACAAGATTTGATAGTGTATTATTATTGAAGCGAAGGGGAGTCTGTGGTTTAGATTCTGACTTATCGCTTATCGAGTCATCTGGGCAATGCATTCTGTCGGGCTGAGTTATCAGTCAATATCGACATCCGTAAAATGATGAATGGATATGTGAAAGACTAATTGCTGCCTTCGCTCCACTCAATGTCTGTTGATAAATTCAATTTTTCCTGTGAAAATGGTTACATCGCCATCACATATCCCACATCTTTCTAATGCAATGTGATCATCAAAATGACGATCACCAACCACAGTGTGCACCTGATGAACTGATGTGATATAGTCGCATCGATGTCTTCATTCCAAATAATTTGAGGTGTATGACCAAATAGTACAAGAGGTGAAACATTTCGTTGCATGTTTATGATGGAGGTGCTAGCAACTCATGTTCATTTGCCCGAGGACTGTGTGCAGAGGAGATTTGTTCAGTCTCATATTCCGTCATAGTCCTGAAATTTACAGCTTGCCCTGACCTTCTTTCATTAATTGGTTCACTACTATTGGAATTGCACGAAAATTTCATGCATCCTACTAGGCTTTACCTCCACTCAACTTATTTGCACATATCAAGTTCACATTCAATCACTCGCTTGCTCCTCAACGAATGACAATTTCTAACTTATCACATTTCGAAGCCTTGATTATATTGTGTATTCCTTTATTGCTGCGCTCGATCATTTTCACTTCTTGTCATCGAATTAGTAATGTTACGTATCTCCAGAAACTTTTCAGAGTAAATATCGCTCTGAGAACTGCACCATTCTAAAAAAGATGAAATACGATGCAAATACGCTTAAACAGTCATTCGAATATTTTGTTGACAATGACGAACAATTTGCTTGTAAATAAGTTCTGTGTTGCAGTGAAATGAGAGTAAATCCATGCGTCGAATCGACCTCACATCACGCTCATTTGCAGTGATACTCTGTCACGTGATCACAACACAATTGTGATTTACGCTGTTTATTTGTTTACATGTCTATAAACATCTCTGTACGTGAAGTGATGACTCAATCTTTGTTTCTTTTTCATGAGCATGTCAAGTTCAAATGTCACTCACTGCTTGAATCACACTTGAACTGCATGATGAATACATTTGTGATTTGTATGTGATTGGTGACATTAGTACGTGACACTCTACTGCATTCACTCGCCTTGACTTGTGTGTGTATATATAAAGAGATGCATGTTTTAGAATTGCATGAGAATTTCCTCGTGTATCAGCCGATTTTGACATCGGTTTTGAAAATCCGAGGACGACTATTTGACTGAGTAAGTGCATGAATTCTCCACACTCTGTCCCAATACTGAACCACTTCAATTCGTACCATGTGATTAACATCCCCTCTCCATTTATCTTGCCTTTAGCATCACAATGAGGCTGGCTATCACTATCCTTCTCACCTTGTTCTGCTGCAAGTTCCTTCTGGCGGAACCAGTACCTCTCAGTTTAAGTGGTGAAGGTAGGTTTGCCTCATGGACATAAACGATTCATATATATATATTTATACGTTCATATGTATACACATATATCCATCACTCAGGATATAACTTGGAATTGGTTGACGACTTTATGGGTAACACTTATGATCATCTCAGTATTCTTCATATATCGGTGTCTATGTCGCATGCTTGGCTCAGTTTGTGCATTTTGCAGTCTTGATTCTTTACGAAGATCGATTTATTTAGTTAGAGATTAGGATTTTATTCGACATTGCGTCTTTGTTTCAGGCCATTGCCATTTATTCATCGAAATATGTAAACATTCTTTCGCTCACTGATCTAAAAATAAAGGGGCATCTGCTTGAGCTTTGTCCGTTCAGTCGACATGATTTTTGTTATCAGCATAATTCTGTTAAATGATTGTCTGTCACACGTCAAAATGGATACTAGTAAATTGTTATTTTTTGCCAGTCTTATTTGTCTCTTTATGTCCATCCACTCAGTGTAGTCTTATTCCATTTACCACAGTTATTGTTGTGTGTGTGTATTAACTTCTGCCTTTTTCTTCATTACACGCTTGGCTGGCAAATCTTCAGACCTCAATGGAACCTTACACGTTACATCAGGAGTGGAGTCAAATAAAACACAAGAGAGAACCACTGATGACGGAAATCCTGCCAATGTGACTGTATCTCCTTCTGACAGTGGTGCTAATGGCACTTCCTCCACTACAGAAGTCTCTGAAAAACCTTCAGACGTCAATCGAACTTCACGGGTTACATTGAGAAGTCAGTTAAATGAAACACAAGAGAGAACCACTGCTGACGGATATTCCGCCGCTGTCAATTCAACCTCCACTGAAGCTCCTTCTGACAGTGGTAATATTACTACAGATGTAACGTCCAGATCGAAATTGCTTCATGGATCGTATGACCATGACAAAGATGACTACGACGACTATCCAAGGCACCATAAAAAGGATCACGGACATTACAAGTCTAAATTCTATGATCATCACCATTCATATGATGATGATGATTATTACAAGGACGATTGCGAAGTTGATTACAAGTATCATGGTAAACGCCATCACTATGGTCATGGTCACAAATATGGTGGTCATCATGGTTACGATTCTCATTGGGAAAAAGAAGATTACCATCACAAATATCATCAACATCATCCCAAGTACGGTCATGACCATCACGACTACGACTATCATCATAAAGATCATTATGATTATCCTTCCCACCATTACAAAGATTATTATCCTAAATACGGCGGCCATCATGGTTATGGTAAATATCCTAAGGGTCATAAATACGGAAAACACTATTACGGCGGTGGCAAATATGGTAATCATAAAAAGTACGATCACGGTTATAATAAGGGATATGGCAAAAAATACCATGATAAATATCCTAAATATGAGAAAAAGTACTATGGTGGTCACTATGGTGGTAAGCATCAATACTCGAAATATTGATTGCATTGTTCATGAATACAAATGTGGAAGTGAAAATCAATCAGTGCCGTGTGAATTCAGTTTGCACAAACACTTTGACAAATTGGAACATTTCTTGCCTTGTGTTCAATTGATATTTGTAGCATATTCGTTTTAGGTGTGTTCAATTCAACTGAAATTAATTTTTATTAGAAATATACAAAGTTTGCTGATAATCGCTCTCTTGTTTTTTATCGTTCCTTGCACTCTACACTTCATACAGACTTGTGTGCGTACATGTGCGAAACATGGACACTTTAGTAGTATGTAATTGCGTGTTGATTTGTCCAACGGATTCATCACACATTGAAAGTGTGTTAATCACTGAATGACGAAGTGTCTTCCACAGTTGATTGTTGCTAGATTGCATGCAATAGATTGTGTTCGAAAACTGGTTTAGTAAGTGATACTGTTCCACTGTGTCATATATCTGATAGATGTATGAATGCGAATTTCAGATCTTCCGTTAGTAGGAATAGGATGTCTTCATGAGCCTACATATATCACTGATCGGTTGATGTGAGTAGTTGCGTACCACTTACATTAACGAGTGGTGCTTGTTAGCCGGCCGGTTTTCATGCTCTGGTCTTCTTTTTTCTGCTGTAATGTGATGTTTCGCATCCATAACGCAAGTTGAATATTACTTCCAGATTAGGAATTCTCACACATAGAGTGTCATACTCTTAAATAAATTATGGATTATCGAGATACATTGAAGCATTCACGAACTCAACGAAAATTGACAAGGATTCCAGCAACTGAATAATCTATAGAACCTTTTATTACTACTTTGTCACTCAGGAAGAAAACTAGTAGATATACTGATCTGTTCCAAATGGGGTAGATTTTATTCATACCCGATAACTTTGTGTTGATGAGCCATCGCTTCTTCAATGTTTCATCGTTCCTTCCTCACTTCTCTCTATTATATACATAATTGAATCCTCTTTCTAAATCATGAAGTATGATCAAGTGGTTCATCTCGTAAATGTAGCCTCAGGTTGTCGTTAATTTGGTTCTGTTAACGGAGATTAGTTTCCACAAGAGATTAAATAGGACGAATGTGGCAGAGACAATTAGTACTAAATAAGCTTTACCACATATTTATATACTGAACACCTGATTCCTGTATAGGCTGCAGATACTCCAGTTGACTGAAACATTTTTGAACTTTAACTGTCTATGCATTCCGCCTACTATCATGGTTCATACGGATACAGTAATTTTTCAGTAGTCTCTTGCTAATGTGCATCAATTTCATTTCACCTCAGTCAATGTCAGATTTCGTTTCATTCTTTTTGTTTTTTCGTCAGTAACCCAATATCATTTTTATCTCTACTCACTTTAGCAGTAACAATTATTTGAATTAATGCGTTTGTTATCGTTTGCCACTTCCACTTGTTGTTTTCTTTGTTCATACATGAGATTTTTGTCCTTCGCTTCCGAGATGAACTGATTTCTCACCACCGTTGAAATCTCCGCTGATTGTAAAGAAAGTAAATTAATTCTGTGTTTGTTGAGATACGCGTTTTGGTTGTATGTGTCAGGTGAGTTTAAATATACTGACGATTACTACAAAATTTATCAGTGAAATTGTATTGTAGTATATGGTTAGTTGGCGAACTGTTTTCGACTGAGTTCAGCATATCTGCAAGAAGACTGTTGTATGTTTTGATGAACCTGGATGGCGAATGAAACTTCAAAACGATATCAGTGCAATCAATTGGTTACTGTTATTAGCGCATTTTATTGTCAGGTTCCGACTGGAACATTCCAATTCGGTAGCCTATCTCCATTTCACTTTGTTCACTTTAGTCCTAATTAGTTCTCATGACATCTTCTTACCATATGAACTTCACCATTTCACAGCCTGCTCATTATCTACTAAATTGTTCTCCATTTCTTTCGGTGTATTTTTGGGACAGTACGTAATGGTTGATTCATGGACAGAGATCCTTTTCGCTTATAATTTCTGCTCATCCAGTTTTCAGTATTGAGTAAAGAAGAGTGTTGATATAAGTATGCAGGAGACTGTTGGAAATGTTTTCCGTGACTCACCAAGACCTTCAAACATGTTAAAGCCGTAACCTGACATTTCTGTCAGAAATTCGAGTCTTGTTCTCTAAGCTGAGCGCAGCAGATTTCTACGCTGATTTCAGATCAATAATAGTTTGTCTTGTCTTTACGATCCACACTGGCTTTGATATCCTCACCCATGATACCTGTGTTTTTAACGGTGTGGCTGAAATAGTTGAAAGCAACGATTTCATTCAGATTGATCCCTTTCACGATAATTTATGATTTCTGGTGTTATTTAGGTATCTGCGTCACCTATGTCTTAGCGTTTTATTTTTGGTCTAAATGATATCTGTGCAATCAGTTGATAGTCAACAGATATTGGCTGTAAATTTGAAAAATACTCAAGGAGACTACTTTTTGAATTTCACTTTCTTCAGTCTATTTACTCATTGTTGAGCCAGTGCGCGTTAAACTGCTTTACAAGAAACAAATTCAGTTGATAAACATAGAAACACCCAGTCATTTGGTCATTCTCCTTGGAGATGGAAAATCTCGTCATCAAGAATTTGACACGTTGTTTGTTACACCTTTAATATATGACGTGGTAGTGATTCATGCACTGAAGTCAACATAAATAGGAGATGTAATAATTGTGGAAGGTGCAGCTAATAGGATGATGCTACTAGACATTTCATGATATTCCACTACCTCGCGTAGAAACTATGACAACTTATATATCCAAGACAATTTAAGCATCATCAAGACAATGATTGAGAGTTGACTATCAATTCAACGTTGTGTTAAATTCTATCTTCTCAAAATGATGACTGTTAATGTCGCTGATCAACATTTTATGATGTAAGTTGTAAAAATGATTCGAAACTCAGTGTATATAAAACAATTGAATCATGTCTCAAGGAGAAGTTCATTCTCCTTTCAACGTGTTCACACAAATCTTTATCTTAACAACAACAATGACTAATTTATTAATCGGTAGTAAGGCTGGGAATAAGCAAAGCACAACTTGTGTCCAGAAATACCTTCATTACCCTAGAAAACACAAAGCCTGATTCTCTACATTCCATTCAGAAGACACAGGAATAAAATAAAATAACGAGAATGCAAAAGGAAGTAGTATAATAATCAACAGCTGCCATCATGCCATCAAGTTCACGTCGGAATCAGAGAATAACTCGGAATTCCATTTTTTGGATGGTTTTCTAAAGAGGAGATCGGATGGTTCTCTTCAAAGATCGATTTACAGAAAACCAACATGGAATGGTCAGTACACAAATTTCCACAGCTGGTTCCCTTTGAGAAGAAAGAGAAATCTGATCCATTCCTTATCCTCATGAATAAGGAGGATATGTTCAAGTGATACAATCGTTGGGGAACTGGAGCGACTCAGACAAGTCCTCATAGAGAATGGATATCCTCCCAGATTTATCGAGAAAAACATGAAGCCAAGGGAAAAACCTGAAACAATACAGACGGTGACGAAGAAACTACTGCTTATGAGTGTTGAATTTAAAGGTGATACCGCAGCTGAGATCCTGAAGAATTGCTTATGCAGATCACTGAGGAAAGCCTTCTTTATGGCTGAGCTACGTATCAACTTGTACAGCCAACAAATGATTAACGGGTGTGTGAAGGATAAACTGCAGCTTCGGGCCACCTCAATATGTGTTTATAAATTCACTTGCTCGTGTGGAGCTAGTTATATTGGCCGCACAAAGCGCACGCTTTCCAAACGCATCTGTGAGCATTATCCGGCATGGTTAGCAAAGGGACAATGTAAGACAATTACTAGCTCAATTCTCGAGCATTTGGTTAACTCAGGCCACGTAGCTCCACCAGAATCGTCTTTCAAGATCATATACAAAGTGAAGCCAACTGGTACAAAGGGCGTCAGGTTCCGGCTTTTGTGTATGGCGGAGGCTCTAGCAATTCATCAATACAACCCTGAACTCTGTATACAGAAAAAGTTTGTCCAGTCTCTTATTCTACCTTGGTCTTAACCTCTTCACTAATCGTTCCTTGTAAATAAAATATATTTTGATTTCTTCTTTTCACTCTAATTTAACTTTTAGTTAGCTTTTGCTTTACTAATTAATTCACTATTATCACTCTCATATGCTCCTTTTGTATATTTTCACACCCTCTTCACACTTGTTAAATTGACACTCAAATAACACCTTTATTCTGACTCAATAGCAATTTTAACCTTTTCAAATTTCTATCTTTTTCCCGTTGAGTACCACGTAATTTTCAACTTTTAATTTTCACTTCTAAAGCCACTTCTGAGTAATTATATCAATTATGTCACCCCCTATTACTCAATAATGGACCACCATATATTTTTTGTAAGTATAAATACGATTGTACAGCCTCTGAAGATGATTTCGTCGATAAAGAAAATTTTCTTCGCTGAATCTGTCTTTTATTTTAATCAACATAAGTTAAGAACACATTTTCATAGGGTCAATTAGACGCATTATCATTACAGATTTATCAAATCCACGATTATTATCAACATCCCAACTATTCTTTTGTAGACATCACCAAACACGCAGAGTGTTTCTCGAAAGAATAAATTATTTCTCAGTTACCTTCAACCTATCTTCTTATTCACCTCTTTCGTCTTTGCACTTTTTGTCACTGTCTCCACAAAAGGTGCGAAATTCGGCAGTTAGCATGATAATGTACGTAGATTGAGCCAGTGTTTAACAGTTCCATCGTCATCGCTAATGAAAGTTCAATGATCGAAACCCTATACTCCAATGAGAACACACAGGAATGAAGCTGATTAGCTGAATAGGAGTGGGGAGTAGACTAGCAATCTACTGGAGTTAAGCAGATATGCACAAAGTTTGAGTTAAAAAAATTGTCATACTAGGTTAGTATCTTGATTAAATCAGTCGCTATTATTCAAAATGTCTGATATTCTACTGTAGATATGATCA